CTCGAAAACCACCGCGCTTTTGAAGTGTTGGATCCTGTTTTGATGTTGGTAGTGAAGGGGGGCTTTGAGTGGTTTGAATCTATGGATGCCCGTGTCAGGGCGGAAGTTCACGTCAGGGCAAGTTAAGGCGCGCATGTTTTTGATCGAGGTGGCCAGAAATTTTCAGTCAAGACGCTCAAAACTCCCGGCGATGTCCTGGGAGGATTATTGGAAGGTAAAAACAATCGACTATAAGGGCGATGAAGTCAAGGTGGCTCAGATGACCAGTTGGTCCAACATCAAGAGTGCGCTTCCAGCAGAGGTGGGAACGGTCCCCTCAAAATTGTGGTCTCTAAAGGGTCTCAGCGCTACCCCGAGTTATGGTCCCTGAGGGTGAATGGGAGGACTTGACGTTCGTGGTACCACGTCTAGTTTTGTGGAGGCACTGAAGGAGGTTTATGCCAGGAAACACGTGCCCCGTCATCCCGTCGTCCAAAGAAGGCTTTTGTTAGGGAACCATTTGCTGAGAAGTCCAAGGGGCTGAGATCGATGGGTGCACAGGCATGGCTTCACCGAAGGCAGAGAAGACAGGTAAGTACTTGCAGTTGTGCCAGCTCTTGCTGGAACAGGGAAAGTGCACTCAGCGCCAACTTCAGATCGTGGCTGAAGGGTTCGTGTACATTTGTGCTTTTCGGAGGCCGTTGCTAGGAGCATTGAATCAGGTGTGGAGTTTCATTCAGAGCTTCGTTAATGGGCGCCCTTTGTGCAAGTGATCCCTCCGCTTGGCCGATTCTGTCTTCTGGTTCCGTTGGCTAGCATGGACTTTCGTTTGGGCCTTTCAAGTACAGCCGCTGCTTCAGACGCGTCGACCTTTGGGGGGAGGTGTTATTGCCTCCACGGGTCTGAGTCAAGTGGGGGTCATTGCAGCAAATCTTCCGGTTTGCGGAGACGTGCCAGAGTTGAGTGAGATTGCGACGGTCCTCACGATCGGGTTGTTTGATGGCATTGGAGGTTTGAGGGTTGCAGCGGACGCCGTGGGTCTGACCGTCTTGGGTCATATCTCGGTGGAGAGTCATGAGCCGGCTAGGCGAGTCGTAGAGAGCAGGTTCGGGTACTTTGTTTGTGAATGATGTTGCGCAGGTCACGGAAGACATGGTCAAGTCCTGGGCGTGCAAGTTCAGCCAGGTCAGTTTAGTCTTAGTGGGCGCGGGCCCGCCTTGTCAATAAGTTTCCGGCTTGAATGCTGACCGTCGAGGCGCTCTGAAAGACCATCGCAGTGGACTTTTTCCTCACGTGGAGCGAATCACCAACCTGGTTCGTGAAGGCTTTCCATGGGCACAAGTGCATCGCCTCATGGAATCAGCGGCGTCGATGGGCCAGTCTGCAGGGAGTACGCCAGTTTACTCCTTGACTCCTCAGGTGTGACCGGGTGCCGTCGCCCTAGACTCTATTGGCCGAATGGGAGTTAGAGGATGGTAATGGGTCATCTATCTCCTCGGTCAAGGGAACGGGGTGGGCACAAATCACGGAAGTCGCTTCGGAGTGTGAGTACGTGGTCGACGAGTTCCTGACGCCCGGGTCTACCTTCACTACGAGCCGACCCAGGTCCTCACCTGGACGGCGGCCGGCAGGTAGCCAGCGGTGTAACGCATCGGAGCTTCGACGATGGGAGCAAGACAGTTACAGGTTTCCTCCGTATCAATACCGTTCAGCTCTTTGTTTGACAAACAGCCAGGGGACCATTCGGCTGCCTGACATCGAAGAACGCGAAGTGTTGGTGGGATTCGGGGCTATACTATGAATTGTCTCCCCAAGTCCCAGAGGCATGGTGGATGAACGGCTCAGCTTGATTGGAAATTCATGGTGCGTCTTCGTCATTGCTTGGCTCGTTTCTGGTGTGACAGGACTAGCGCAAGTCATGCTTTATGCTTTCACAGTCTGTTTGTCTGTCCCTTTCTCATTTGCTGCTTGCAAGGAGCCCTCCCGCACATATCGCCACAATTTCATTTGTGATTGGTGCTGGGCTTCGAAGAAGAACACTGCACTAAACTTTGCTAACTTCAAGAGTGCTTCTTGTCCTGAAGATTGTTTGATTCCTTCGTTTCACAAGTTTCACAAGTGGCTTTTTCAAGTTCAACCTCTTTCAAGTGAGGATGCAATGTGGCGCTCCACCGTTTGTGTCACAACAGAGCCAGAAAGCAGCCCCTGGTGCAAAGTGCATGGATTTTCCCGCATCAGGCAGCTCTGGGATTGCAGCTGGACATGGTTCAAGAACACTTTTGACAGGAAGGTGTTTGGATGCGATTTTCTGTGCCAGTTGTAAACACTTCTCTTGGTGAGCGCAAACTTAGGCATGCATATTGTGCATCTTGGTACTTTGCGGGATATCATTGCTGGATCTTTGGTTGACATGCTGGAATCAGGACCAGTAGTTAAAAAATCGTGGTGTCGCATTTTCCATGTTGTTTTTATTGCAAAATGTTTGCTGGTGTTCTGGTAGCCCTGTCAACTACCTACCCTTCTTGAAGGAGACCTTCATCGTCATGTTGGAGCCGACCCTGATGAACCTAGAAGATTGGTTCTTTACCGTGTTGGGCGCATGGCGCAAACCTGGGCAGGGGCTCAGCGGTTAGACTTGAGCATGACGCCTTTGACGGAGAACTCCCTCAATTACACGTCTTCTACCTACCCAGAGCTTGAGTCAGCTGTCAAGGCAGCTCGCTCTCGAATCCTTTTCGAGTATGTGGTGAAGATTTGTTTGGGTGTCGACCCTTGCGTTGAGGTTGGAATGAAAATTTGATTATGAATTCCGTGCCAGTCTGTGTGTCAAGTTCAGGTTGCATGAAAATTGAATCCCGCTGCCTGCCCACACAAAAACACATGACCAACCCAGGAGCGAGACCTACCAGAACATCGCCCTGCGCAAGATCACTACCACGCCCAGCTAAGGGCATGCATGTGCTGGACATTGTCTGCTGCTTTGTCGGCTTGGCAGAAGGGCAGCAAACCATGGTTGACTCCAAATGAGGCGGCTACGCCTACACCTTCAATGCTACGCAGCTCTTGCCAAAGCAGAGTTAGCTGCAGGACGCTTGTTGCGGAGGTTGCGACCGAAACTACACTACCTAGACCACCTGGCCAGTGAAGTGGCAAGAACTCATGGGAACCCGATGTCCCAGCGTAATTTCCTTGACGAAGACAACATGAAACATCTCAAGGCTGTGGCGGTTGCTTGTCACCCTCGTACGGCGCAGACTGCATGGTCTAAACGCTACCTCCTCAAGAAGGTGTTATTGTGGAAGCGCTTGGCAGACACAAGTGGTGACTGAAGGGCCGCTGCGAAAATAAAACAGGCATCCTTGATGCCAAATACAACCAGGATGTTCTTTTGTAGAACAGGTTGTATGTTTATAGTTGGGGTGTATCCAATTTTTGATGGTTGTTATAATAACAACCGGGTTGCCAGTTTTGGTTCTCCAGGAAAGTGAAGCCTGCGCATGTTGAAGGGTGCACACAAGAGGAATGGAAAAGAAGGAGGGCTGAGTTGCAGTCACTGACAGTTCAACCAGGGCCCTACGAACTAGACCACGTAGAGCACCTCTGGAGTGAAGGGTTTGGACGTGCGCTTGCCGCAGACACTGTCGCAGGAATCCAAGACGCACAGCCAAATGTCCGAAAGCAACTTCCTGCTACGTGGAGACTTTTGAAGGCATGGAGTGTGAATGAGGTACCGTCGCGTGCTCCCCCCACTGCCAGAGGACGCCTTTACACCATGGTTGGTTGCTCCATTTTTAAGCGTGAATACCAATTTGCCATTTCTCTCCTCGTGGGATATTTCGGTGTCGGACGGGAGAGATCCTTGGCCTGAACTCCGACCATATTTCTGTCGAATCTGAGCGCGGACCCGCAGTGATCTCGTTAGGAATGATCAAAGGAGGCCAGAGGCATTAAGGGGCTGCGTAGAGCGTGGCTCTCACTGCTGAACAATCCACTCGCTGGCTTTGGAAATGGACCCGGGAGTCCGGGAGTGCCCTGACCATCACCCGTTGCGTTCCACACCTGCTCGTTGGAGAAAGCAGTTCAACGACACGTTGAAAGCCGTAGGATTCGAGTGCCATGATTTCCGGCCGAATATACGCTTCAAAGAGGCGGAGCCACGTATTGGAAGTGGGGTACTCTAGATCGCTTGCTTTTGTACGGTCGGTGGCAAAATGCCAAGACAGCACGGACATATGTGAATGATGGTCTGTCTGTGCTTGCTAGTATGCAGCTAAAGTGGACACCTGCTAGTCGTCGTTTTCGCAACATCTTTCAGAATTCATGTAGAGAACCACTGCCCACGCTTGAGCCAGCTCTGAAGAGCAGGACTAGGGGGCGGTGGAAAGAAGAAGAAAGACAGGAAGAGGTCTGAGAGTTGGAGTGAGTGGTTACCAAGAAAATACAGTGTGTGGGCCTTTTCTTTCTCTGGTTTGGCGGAGAGATTAAGGGCATCCTGTCCCAACCCTCGGGCTGGGTTTCTGCCTGGTTTGGCGGCAGTTTCCCAGGGGGGTTATTCTTCAAAGAAGAGACGTAATCTAACTTTTCCTTTGATTATTCGACAAACTTGACCTTGCAAAGCAAAACAGAGCGTTGAGGGCCTGAGTCTTTATATATATAGTTTTGCTCAATTTTAACCAAATATGTATATATATATTATATATATATATATGTTATAATATGTGTATATATGTGAAGGTCGGAAGGTGTACGGTGTACGAGATTTTTATTTGGACTTGTATTCTCACTGCTTTTAAGTGCTAGGTCTGCTTTTGAGATCAAAATAAATAAGAAAACTTAATTTTATTGTCTTTGAACTTCTTGAGTTGCCTGGGTCTGTATATATTTGAGCTTCACCAGATAGACACGGAAGGGATGATGACAGTTACCAAAAAGACATACAACCTGGCACTTGCTCCCTGATTGTTGTTCAGAATGCAGTGTTCAAGCCTTGCTCACAGCGTCATGGGCATCATGAGCCAAAGGACAGCAGCCCACCAGCAGCAGTGCGGCTGAGCCAGGTGGAAGCGCAGGCGTGGTCTGGCGGTTTCGGAGCAGTGGCGCCTCCACCGATGCCAGTGCTCCAAGAGCCCAGTGGGCCGCAGCAGAAGCTTTGCCGCAAACGAGGGTTTGCCAGAATTTGACAGCTCTTACAGCTCCCCGCAAACTACACAATATTATAATATAGGCTCTATTCGTCATTTAGTTTAAGCGCAGAGTTGTTTGCTAAGCAAAACAACTTCAAGCCCAGTATTGTTTCGATTCAATGCTTTCCACTGACTGGGCGTCCGCATGGTGATCAGTGGTCCACACGGACGGAGTGCTCTTTGCTAGCCTTTGTGCATTTCAACAAAGTTGGTTAAAGTCAGTGCCTTACGCCTTCTGCAGTGCTCAGTGATGCTCCATGAAGTTGCTGCTGCAACCTGTGAAACTTGCATCCCATCGTCTTCATCCTGGCACCTGTTACCGATCCATATTTCTGTCGGCAGTCCAGTCCTTGCAGTCCTTGCACTGACGTTTTTCTTTTATTTTTACAATTTCAATTCTATGAATCTATGATGTTCTTGCAGGAAAATTGCATTTTTTCCCGAAAGCGAAGGGTTCTTCGTAAAGAACGGCTAAAAACTTCAATTGTCCAACCATCAAACTGTCCAATCATCATCATCATCATCATCATCATCATCATCATCATCATCATCATCATTTTTTTTATATATTTTTTATTCTTCTTCCTGACGCTCATCGATTCCGATGAAGGTCTGGACCTCTTCTTGAGTGAAGGTCCGCCAGGTACCACAGGGTCATCAACCAAATGCCGAGTCCAGCAGCTGGGCAAGGTGAGTTGTCTCACGAGCCTAATGCTGCTGAGAGCTCTGCAACATCAAGTTCGATTGGCCAACCTCTGGGGCACGCGTGTGCCACGGCGACAGCTTCTGAGCCATATGCAAGGCATTTTTTGGTGAGTTGGTCACTTGCCAAGACGAAGTCAATCCAGGATTCCACCGTTTTGCCGCCCGTGTAGGTTGGATGAAGGGAAGTTCACCGCTAAAAGGCAAAAACTCCAGGGTACTCTGACTCTATCCCGTTTTCCGCGTTCCGTTTTGTAAGGCCATGTGAAAGTGATGGAAAGTGATCGCGCGCCATCCATGCCATGGAAGGCGAAGACATTGAGACCTGAGCGCTCAAGGGTTGGTCTGGGCTTGTGTCCATGTTGTCAGGATGCCAAATTTATATGCTGTGTGAAGGGAGCCTATGTTCCGCCTGAAGCCACTCAGGCGGTTGAGCGACACTGCTGACTGAGTACTTTCAATATCTTTCAATAGGTCATGTTTCCTGCCTGCTCAGCGCGGGACCGGACATTGTCTGCGCTGCAATGAATCTTTGATCTTAAGGGCTATATACAAAAGCCATGCAATAGGTTTTGCTACTGTGCGCATCGCTATGTACCCAGAGGTCAATTCGCACGTAAGGCACATTGCCCGACTGCATTTTGCTGTGCAAGCATGGCTATGTCGTATCTGTTTTTTTTCATCACTATGCCTTCTCCGAGGGCTTCTATACCTGTGGCTGCACCTGGCACCTTACTCTTCTCACTGTGCGGAGAGTAGTTGTCCGCAGCAGTCTGTCACGCTTCCTTCAAAACCTGCGATCGAAAGGAACGTCGGGCTGCTGTGATTGGAGCAGTGTCTCGGTGGGGGAGCTTTGTCAGGTCATCACCCTCATCATCTTTACTTCTTTAATCTCTTGCTGTGCTTTCGGGCCACTCTGTCGTCAGTGTCGTCTAGTTCTCATATGTGCGAAGCAAGTGTCTACATAGTGTTTCACATTTGCAGGCAGCAGCAGCTCTGACTGTGCCCCATGAAGACGTGTAAGTTTTGTACTAAACAACTTCGACTGCCCCGCTTGACTATCCATATTTGGCGTAGAGCTGCCAGCTCCAAGATGTTTATCTTCTTTACTGTATACTGTATGTATATATACAACTATATGCATATATATATATAGAACTATATTTACATACTCCACGGCCAAAGTGTCTAAGGTCAGTCCTTAGACATCACACGAGCGCCTCGAGCCCAGTGAAGCCTGGGCCTATTGTCTCAGGCGAGCTGAGGCGGGCGTTTCATTCGAACGCGTTGAGCGTGTGCCGAGTTTCTCGATTCTGATATGAAGCTTCAGGATTGAACCAGAAGGATGATCTATTTTTGGGAGTAGCACAAAAAACATGCAACATAGACACGGATCACATGTTTGCTGATCACCAGCTGTTTTGGCAACAATGTGGCAATAACGACCGCGTCAATAGACAAATCATATACAGTACTATAGTACGTCTGAAGATGACTGTATGAGAGTGATATGCAGTCGAGGGTTGCTCAGCTTTCTGGTCTCAGCTTTCGCAACATTTGAGGCACCTCCCTGGTTGTAAACACCATTCCTTCAACTTCAACATCCTTCAAACAATGTTTGATTTGCAAATAGGTTGATGACCTGATCTGAGGGTTTAAAGGGCCAGGAGGCATCCCCTCTAGATAGACAAACTCACCACTCTGCACATACAAGCATGAACGAAGCGAGGCAAAGATCCTTCGTTGTCATGTCAGGCCGCAGGTCATAGACCAGCGGGAACCAGAAGTTGCACTGTCTCCATGCAGCGAACACCGTGTGGACGACTCGCACCCACGCCACGGTGGCGCAGAGCCTGGGCATGTGGAGGTGCGGAATGGTGCTTGTGGTGCGCTGCGAACCGACAGCTTAAACTGTCGAACAGCTTAAAGAACAAGACCGTCTTGGTCTTGGTACTGTAAGTATATAGTATTATATAATGTATACATATATATATAAGGCTGATGATGCCAGCTCTTGTTCTAGGATTGCAATTGCTCCTATTTCAGGGATTCAAATCGGCAGTACAGAAAACTCAGAGGTGCATTGGATGTCAGAAACTGTGGGCCATTCCAAGCTGCTTCAAGAACACTGGAGACTCGGTCTTTGTTGTGAGGCTTCTGAGAACTCTGAGTCCAGCCAGGCAGGAAGCCTGGTGACATATGGTGACATCCATTGTAACAGATATTATGGGTCACTATAGGATGCAGGGCGTCGATGGTCGATGGTTGATGTTTCAAGCCTTCTTTCCAATCCAGTGTGACGCAGTGCTTTCAATTTTTGTGAAAATGGTCGAGTCTTCCTTTCAGTAAATGGTTTGAGAAAGATGAGAAAGGGGTTTCTCCAAGCGAGCTGAGCGAGTGGCAGGAAGTTAGCCACATAGACAATATCAGTAGTGTATCAGAGTATCATAGTATCATAGCAATTTGCCTCGCATGTCACAACCCCAAATAAGATATCATCGAACAATCACCCACATCAACACGCAAAGTCGACGAATGGAATTTGGGATTCTTCCTCCACCGCAGTTGAACGCACGCTGCACACGGCAGCCTACTGGCATCTTCACCCCGCAGTAGTTGACTCCTACTGGTCCTACTGTGTCCAATCAATTTTCGTCACTAGCCTTTTGTGTGAGCTGGCGAGGTGGTCTTGGAATTGCAGCAGCTAAGAGAGCAGGTGAAGCTTATCAATGAGGCAAACCATGTCTCGTGCTTCAACCCGAATAGACCTCCTTGTGGCACTGTAAACAAAGGATTTTTGAATCGAGGGATTTGCGAGAAACACAGGACTCATGGCCTAGGGGTTGCCTTAGGGTTTAATCGGCGGGATTGCGGGCAAAAAGCCATTTGTCGCAGGCTTTGAGTCCCGAGGCTTTGCAAAAGCAGGCCCGCAAGAAGCCTCTGTGATTATTCCACATGATTCCACACAATATTGCAACATTGTGCTAGTGTTTTCTGGAGATCAGATCATGGAAATTGGCCTTGATAGACTTGATCAGCTGTCGATCTTTGGCAAGGCCCGCAATGTTTCTTCACTATCCTTTCTACAGGCAGCATTCTCTTTGAGATACTATAAAACCTTTTGAATCTTTGAACTCCCCAAAAGCTCATTACCCTTGCCCAAATTGTTTTGACGTACACAGTATGGCGTCGTGACTTAATTTTCACATATTTTCACACTGCGCTTTGCAAGAATCCTTCCACTTCCAATCTCAGAGCTGAGGTCTACTCACACGACAGGGCTTCCCTACCTACCCCTTGAATGGCTAACCAGAGAGCCGCAGGTGCTGTCAGTGCTTCCGAGCTTGACACCACTGCAGGCGACATGGGTCTTAAATAGGAAACGGCCAATTGGTTTGGTGTTTTTGGGTGCGGCAGAGTTTGGTTGAGGAATGAATTGATTTACTGTAAATGGTTCTTTTAACCTACTCCAAATTATGAACATGCTGTGAGTGATATGCCATGGCGGATGATTCATGGAACACAGATGTAGCACAGACACGTGGAAATATCAGATTTGTTGAGTTCATTGGTCATCAAGGCTGCAAATTCACCTGCTAGAATTTCAAGATGTCAATTTTCCCTGTGAAGACTCCAAAGAGTGTAGTTTCCTGCCACTGTTAGTAGGCTCGCAGGCTAGATGGACAGGGTTCCAGCCATTTTGAGGAGTTGCTTGATGGGTCTTGACTACTCTAAAGCTCGCGGAGGCAGTGCCACTAGAGCCTGTCCAAGAGGCTGAGGAGGTGAGCCTTGAGCATATTAGGTACCCCAAGCCCTGGAGCTTTGTACAACATCCTCTCACGTTGCCTTGACATTGTTTGGATGTCACAGTAAATCGCACCTGCATGAAAAGAGACAC